ACAGTGAAGCGTGCCGGGCTGGTGACACTGAGGGTCAGGTTGTCTTGTCACGAGACATGAGATGAATGAGTTATAGACTGACAGACGACTTCTTTAACGTCAGCGTCCCGCTCTAAAGTTTAACTCCAACTCTGAAAAGACAGAAAGAGGAGAGGAGGCGCTGAAGGAAACTGAATCTGTGTGGTGGAAATCTATGTTTTCAATGTTGACATGCTGCACCTGCTTCCTCTTTAAAGCAACATTAAGGTTCTTCAGATGAAGCAAAAAACCAAACCGAACACGTGCCCGGGGGCCACTCAGCACTTTGAAGCCTCGGATAAAACATTAACTTTCAGGACGAGAAAATGAAAAGACACAAGTCAAGTGTAAGAGTCGGAGCACTCCGGCTCTTAAGGTGTATTCAGACGAACTTCTAAAACATGAAATGCAGATCAAGTTCAACACTTTTTGACTCTTGTCTTGCAGAAAAAGCAGAGAATCTTAATGGGTTCTTAAGGTTAATTTGACAAGCGAGGTAGAGCCTCAGTGACTTGTTAACATGGAAATGTTTCGCAACGTGGAGGTTTTGAAGGTCATCAGAGGTGGCAGAAGGCTCCGGGGCAGAGTTAAGACTAGCCACACGTGTGCTCAGTTCTGTTCCAGTGAACCACAGATGGGTGCCACAATGTCATTTGCAGTAAGGGAGCGTGTAATGGAGTTGTAAGTGCCCCGAGCAGGAGGGGGAAACAAGCCGATTGCCTTAGTCGTTTCCAGAGTTCATCACATTGAGCGACCTGGAGTCTTAACTGTAAAGGACACAAAAAGGATCCTCTGACGGAGACACGGGTCAAACCTCAGGAACATGAAGCATCACAGCTTCGTTCAAACAAAGTGCAGTGGAAACTTAGTGGCAGAGGTCGGGCGGTGTGTTTTGGTTGTAAGAGTTTTGCTCTGTGGGACGTCTTGTTTTGTACACAGAGCTGCACAAAGGGGGCAGAGCGAGTGTGGAGCAAACAGCTCGACCTAGTGGGTCAACACAACACACCGAGGGGGAAACCACACCATGCATGAACTAAAAGCTAATGATTCAACGGGGACAAGCTTTGAAAATACCGCGGATATATTCCTTTCCTCTTTGAAACAAAGGAATCTTTTTATGAGACAGTCGTATGAAATATGATCAGCAGAAAGCAAGTGATGGAAGTTGTTTTTAAACTCCTCTCTGGATGTCTTGAATCATTTAATAAAAACATTCAGTGTTGATTTAGAAGTCTTCTCCTTCACCAAATCAATTCCATTTTTTGTCATGAATCCCTCCTTTAACAGTTCCTCCAAATTAAAAAAAGCAGGGAGTTTTCTAGTTGCATTTTTAACTCCATTAAGATACTGAAAGGTTCAGATTGGATTCACTTTCAATTCTTTTAAACCTTCTTTGTAAGAGTGACAAAGTCTACATATATTATGCAGAGTTAATGCAGAGTGAGGGCTGACGCTCTTTTTTTACTGTCAAATGACCTGCTGATTAATTTTCTCATAACTAATGAATCTTCTGGTTTGATAAAAAGGAGTCTGTTTCTTTTTAAAGGTTTACGTTTTGTGCCTTTATTTAGAGAAAGGACAGTGGGAAGAGTCAGAAATCAGGGCGAGAGAGAGAGAGTGAGTGAGTAGGGAAAGATATTTGATTTATTTAAATGTATTTAACCAGGAGAACCTCAGTGAGGTTAAGAATCTCGTTAAGGGTCCTGGCTGAGACAAAGACACAGACAGAAAACACAGATCAACATGTCCTGAGTCACAGAGAAGAGAAGGTCATCAGTCAAAGCTTCTACATCCATTTCTAGATGCACTTTGGGAACAGATAACAACAATAAGTCTTATAAGTGACTGGAGTTGCAGAGCGAAGACCGCAGCTTCAACACTTTCCATGTTGTGTTGCTTTGTTGTGTAACTAATAACCTATGCGTGCCACTGTCCCTTCCGCCCTTTGCTTTTGCTTTTCCAGAAGGATGCTAGCAGAGTACTGAGGGTTCATGGGAAGCTAACGGGACGTTGTTTCTATGAGCTCATGCGCCGGGCTCCACAGTCTGGCAGCGTGCGCGTCGGCTGCAGCCAGGATAAAGTGGAGTCTGTGAGCGGAGCCCAGTTCACTCAGTCAGATAGCGGTGATTCAAACCCCATTTGTTTGGGCGGAGAGGGATGCTCTCAGTGGTTTGGCTGTGATTGATCCTTCCTCTGCCCGTGATCGCACCGTGACACTATTCCAGTTTCCACATTCGTTTTTTTTCCCCGGCTAACTTAGACCGGTTCACTGCTGTGGCGCTTCCTTTGTTGGCCCTCGGACAGATCTGACCTCCACCCTGGAAAAAAAAAAAACTCCATTGCTCTAGACAACAGAAACCTTTGCATGGAAACATGACTTAATGTGTAATGCGGAAGGAGACATCCTAAAGAAAGACGTCTTCTATTCTAAAACCTGTTGATGCACTTACAGAGTTGTAGCTGTTTTAATCAACTAATGCTAATTCTTTTACCGACAACACACATTTTTAGGATGCCAAGTGGAGATTAACTTAATGTAGAGAGAAGATAAAACTAAAAGTGTTAGTAATCCTGAGTAAAGGTACAGTTTGTGCTGCACCCAAAGTCTGTAAATAATAATGGACGAAGCCTGATGACGTCACCTATTGGTGTCTGAAGGGACGTTCTGGAAGTCTGCCCATGGAAGCGGTCATATTGGAAATGCTGACTCTATCAAACTTAGTGTCAAGGTAACAAGAGACAAAGAGCTGGAGCTGAAACGCGGCTTTCAGTCAGATCTGTCACGCTCCTCGTTATGAATAATTTGAATGCTTGAATGAGTGCCAAAAACGCATCAACTAATAAGACCAACCCATTTTTTTGTATCAGGCTGTAAACATGTTCATCTCTGCTGTCAAAACAGATATTTTAATATGGGGTGTGTGTGGGACGTCTGGTTCTTTTGGAGACAGCCCCAAGTGGACACTCGAGGAACTGCAGTTTTTTTTAAATACGTCAGAATTGGCGTCATTTTTTCCCCACTGGAGGTTGCAACTTGGCTGCACCTTGGGTTTCCTTTGTTTGGTAAACAAAGAGAAACAAATGAAGAAGTTAATAAAGAGGCAACATGAGTGTCAGAAAGAAATGCAGCTCAAGCTAAGACTGTTTCTTTGAGTTTTGTATCTCCATGCAACCTCCCCATTACGGTTACATTTTGACTCAGTAAAAACAGGCACATTGAAATATAAGAGATAGACCTCCACAGACTAAATCATGGACAAAAATCTGTGAATTAAACTATAATGCACAACGAGAAAATCACAACAAAAATTTTAAGCTTTCTCATAATTCCTATCAGGGATTTTTTCATCCCGTTTAAGTGAAGAGTTGCGTACTGGACATGTATGTGAGATGCTACACGTGAGAGAGGACGCTCCAGCGTTAAGCCAACAATTTGATAAAATGAAGACTCTGCTGTTCATTGTTTCCTCCAGTAACAAGACGGGCGAAACCAGTTCAAGTGGATGGCTGTTTCTTTGTTTTGTTTTTGTATAAGACGGCAACAGGGCGAGCCATTTGAATGTTTGTGTCCACCTGCTAGTTTTAGTCATTTCCTTTTCCAACATGCAGATGTATGTATGTTTTCAATCAGCAGCAGAATTAATCAAACTGAGCTGTAGCTTACAAACAAGGTGTGGTTAATAACTCTGCTTCTCTGTGAATGATTTGTTTACGGTCATACATATTCGCCTTACTACAAAATCTTTAAAGGGGACATATTATGAAAAATCCACTTGTACACTTGTTTTTATCTGGGTAACCTGAGTGTCTACTGACCCACAAAATGTGAAATAAACCCATCCAGTCCTTTGTTTGTGGTCTGCATAAGTCTTACAACACAAAGAAAAATGCTCCGTTTCAAATGTGCTCTCCTCGTGATGTCACAGTGGGATTCTGCTAAAAAAAAAAATCCCACTCCCCTTCCCTGGTATCTCCACTCATGGACTAAACCTCAGGCCTAGAACAAAACTTTTGCGAAGGTCTGCCATTTCTATTCTCGCTAGCGAAGGAGTGATGTCTACGGGGAAAACTCAGGGGGGGGGGGGGGGGTCATTACATTTAAAGAGACACACACACCAAAACGGAGTGTTCTGAGAGAGCTGGTTTATACAGGGTCACAAACCTCCTCTGGTGCTTGATTCATGTTATATTTTGACCAAAGCACAGCACAGATGTTTCATTTAGACCACAGGGGACTGTTTGAAAAGGTGGAGGAGGGGACTGTTGGAAAAGGTGGAGAAGGGGTATTATATGTCCTCTTTAATTTTACTTGAGGGAGATTTGAGAGAAGCGTATTAGGAGAATTTCTATAATACCCCCTCTCATTTGGTGCAGAAAGTATACACAAGGAAAACCCACAATTGGACGACAAATTCAGATTTGTGTTGCACATTTGGACCTCCTCATGTGGGTCAGAGATCAGACAGCTTTCAGTGGCTGTTTGGTCTCGTCTGTCTGCTCCTGTTGACCTGCATTTCTCTATTGACCCTCCGCTCAACATTTTGGGTCAGCTGAACAACTAAACTAGATACAACAAATCTCTTAGTTTCCATTGAGGAAATGCTGCAGATGTAGGACTCTGATCAGGGATTGATTTATAGCAACTGCTTGCACAAAAGGATTTAGGCTCCAACCAAGAATATTTGGGATATAAGGAGGAAACCTGAATCTCTGCATTAAAAGTATCATTACCAGAGCGCAGATTCATTAGGTCGTGACCTATGCTGTAGTTCTCCAAACGGACGGGTTCAAGTCCAGCCTGTGGCTCCTTCCCCGCATGTTATTCCCTGGTTACTCTATCCTCTGTCCTATCCAATCAAAAGACACCAGCGTTGAGTAAAATCACCTACAAGTCCTAAAGATTGCATCATATATTTCAGGGAAGTGCTGATGAATAAAACAGCTAACTGATTTTTCATTATGTTCCCAACAGACTCTTGAAGATGGATAAACAATATACCTCAGTCAGCCCCACCGATGACATCACGGTGAAGGCAGAGAATGGACCTCAGCCGAGGAAACATCGATACGTTCGCAAAGAAGGCAGCTGCAACGTCGTGTTCCGCCACGTTCCCGAGGAGTGGCTGCTGTTCGTTACCGACATCTTCACCACCCTGGTGGAGATCAGGTGGAGGGTGATGTTCCTGATATTCGCCCTGTCTTACATCCTCTCCTGGCTCTTCTTCGGCATCCAGTACTGGGTCATCGCGCTCGCTCACGGTGACATCCAAAACCAGACGAACGAAAATCCATGCATGTACGAGGTGCGGAGCTTCACCGCTGCTTTCCTCTTCTCGCTGGAAACCCAAACCACCATCGGCTACGGTTTCAGGGGAATGTCGGAGAACTGCATGATCGCCATCATCATCGTGACCATACAAGACGTCATCAGCTGCTTCATCGACACGTTCGTCATCGGAATCGTGGTGGCCAAAATGGCGTCGGCTAGGAAGAGGGCGCAGACGGTGGGCTTCAGTACCTGTGCGGTCATCAATCTTCGGGATGGTTTCCTGTGTCTTTCCTGGAGGGTCGGGGACTTCCGCAGGCATCACCTCGTGGAGGGGACCGCTCTCGGCCAGATCGTGCGCTCGACGGTGCACGCCACCGGGAAAATGGACGTGACCTATGAGGATCTGCTCATCCAGCAGAAGTACATCATCCTGGCCACGCCCACCACCATCTCCCACAGGATCGAACCCGGCAGCCCACTGTACAAGATGAGTCTGGCCGATCTACGGAAATCAGACTTTGAGCTGGTGGTGTCGTTCACCTACACGGACGACTCCACCGGTATACTGCATCAGACCCGGACCTCGTACACACCTCCTGAAATCCTCTGGGGTCACCTGTTCCAGGAGATGATCCGGGTCAGCAGGAGGCACTACAGGGTGGACTACATGCTGTTCAACCACACCGCAAAGGTTCTGGTGCCGGAGGTCAGCGGCGAGGAGTACGAACACAGGAAGCAGCTGAGGCCCTCCCCCCGACATTCCCCTCGACATTCCCCTCGACCTTCCCCTAGGCATTCCCCCCGCCTTTCACCAAGCTCCTCCCCGCGCCCCTTTCCGAAGTCCCCACAGCAAAATCATGAAGAAAAACTCCTGAAACCTCCGACGGTAACGGTGGAACTTGTAAATGACACCCGCACCGAAGCAACTGTTTCAACATCTCCAGCAGACAGTCGACATCATGACACTTTGACTCTGCCAAATGACATCACGAGTCCAGAGATATAAAAGAAGAACCAGGATGTTGGAGGGGTCCAGACACTGTGCTTTGGGGGGGGAAGAAATATTCAGATGGTGGTGAATCTAATTAAATGCAGGAAGGTTGACAGTTCGGTAGTGTTTTTCAGCATTCTTTTTGTTTAAAGTGATGCTCCAGCTAAATCTGAGTCTTGAGAACAAAGACCCTTTTTTAAGCTGTAAAGGTGACACCCCTCCCTTTCAACCAAAGCTTTACAACCAGCTCATTGGCTAAATATGGGATGTTGAAGGAATTGTTAGATATGTTTTTCAGGGGTCAAGATCACATCCTCAAACTTCTCATCAGAAAGATAGTAGCGCTGAAACTCTGGCTACTATAGCAATGCTTTAAGCTTAATGTCGAAGTAAAGAAGACAGCAAACTCTATATAAAAATTACTAAAATTCTGACGTGTATCATGCATACTGTTTACCATACCCACGTCTCTAGTTTAGCCCGCTTGCTGTATAACAATATCTGAGATAGGATTGTTGCTGTCTACCAAACTGGCCCCTATCCCTATGAAACATTGCATTGGACGCTGACATCATTGTTGCAGAAGAGTTTTTTGGATTTGTCTTTCGGAGCATTTTAACCAGAGTGGTATGCAGGAGCAAGAGCATGGCTCAGGGGGAATTCATTGAGAATGGATAGCGGTGACTAATAGCTCCTGCTATCTGCTTCGACTCAAGGTCCAATTTATGAAGCGCTACTGATATTCACCAGCTAAGGATACAGGTTTTCTGATATTTTGCTGAAAACACAAGTGTCTGGGACTAACCATATAAAGTGAGAGAGCAATACATTTGAAAGTTTATATGAATAATTTCTATAATTTATTTAGTTTTAACTACTGTCACTGTTCAGAAGGGTTCAAATTTGAGGTACGATCACCATGGGGCATCAGGTCAGGATGCAGGAATTCAACAAGACATGATTTTTATGTAACAGGTTTATTTCTTTTCAAGTTAGGTGAATCATGAGGGTAACATAAGACACACATGGGATTGAACATCCATGCTGAAAGACAAAATAAAATACTATTAGTACAATAAACAAGCAAATTACATTACTTTCTGAAAGGAAATAAAGTGCTTAGGACAAATTAAAATGGACTAGATAGTAACTAAAATAGGAGTGAAAGCCACCTTACCATTGCTGAACTGCCGCCCCATGTGAGGATGAAAACACAAGTGCAAGGGAGTGCAGTCTTAAATAAGGAGTAGGCAGGTGAATTCAATCTAATTAATTAGTGACAGAGTGCAAACAACAACCAATCAAGGTGGAGAGTCGAGAGAGTGAGAAACCAGGAAGTGTACTAAAGGAGGTGCAGTAGGAAAAGAGTGAAGTGAAAGGAAACAAATAGTGATTTTTACTACAGTCACATATTGTCCACTTCCACTTCACCATGTTCCTCTAACTCTAACATGTGTCTCTAGTCCGTCTACAAATCCCTCAATGATGAGAAAAGTCCATTCTCTCCGTCTTCTGCCTGCTCCATTTTTCAGAAAATGTGTGCTCAAACAGGCCGTTTGGAGATTTTCCCTTCATGACATCACAAAGGGCAGTAGCCCCTCCCCCAGGTGGGTGAAAGCCCCAGGTGGGTGAAAGGGTGAGAAAGCACCGAGTACACCCGAGCCCTTCCAGAGAGGGGGCGTGGTCAGACACAGCTCATTTACATATTTAAAGGTACAGACACAGAAACAGCCTGTTCTGAGCAGGGCTGAAATAGAGGGGTTTATAGACATGATCAAATACAGGATCAGAGTGGATTTAGAACAAGAAACTTCACACACATGTTTTGAGGAGCTCTGAGACTTATTTAAACTGAAGAAGAGGAGGATGATATGTCACCTTTAATAAAAAATATAAATCTTTTTATGTTCAGACTGAGGATTGTTCTTTGAAATATTGATTGTAGTATTCATGTTAAAGTAATTGTAGACCTGATTGATAATAATGATAGAAGAGGTGTATTTGTAAGTGGTTTGGAAAAGTTTTTTTTTTTACTAAATATGGAGCTCGTGGTGAAACGTCTTAACTAAAGTGTAAGAATGATGTGATGAATACAACTACACATAAACTTAAAATATATGTTACTTTTTTAAAGGTAGAGTCAGTAGTAATGTTCATTGTAGTTTGCAAATCCAACATTCAAACATGGCCCCTCCTCCTGGGTTCATCACCCCCAGAAGCTCCGCCCCCTGCAGGATGTAGTGTATGTTTTTACTGCTTGTACCTACACTGCAAGCTAACACACGCTTGCAAGCTAACCATCTTTGTTAGCACCTGCCTGTCCAACAGGAAGCAGACCAACGCCACGTCCGCGGGTAAAAGACAACACAATTTATCCCCTTGGTGTTTCCCCTCACTGTGATTATATTTTCTCTTCCTTGCTGTATTCCCCGATTTGAATCACGTCCAATCACTGAATTGTATCCACTCCTAAACTCACCTGCTGCGCTCCCCGCCCAGAAACGTCCCGAGTCAACCGTCACAAATCAGAACAGTAAAATCCAGTGAGAGGACAGAGTCTCTGCAGACACAGTCACCATCACACATGTATGGAGGCCCAGAAGGGACAGCTACTGACTTTACCTTTAAGAGGGATGGCTCTACATCTTTTTAGAGTAAATATCAAGATGTTTTTATTTTAAATTTGAGTGGAATTTGAGAGGAGTGTCCCGTGTTGTGAGCGTTTGTATGAGAAACATGTAATAAAGTTTTCTTTATGTTTGTGGTGGTTGAATAACGTGTTTGGTAATTTGTCAAATGGAGCTTGTATTTTTATTTTCTAGACTTCTGAGTCCTCGAAGTGTTTTCACACCTGCAGGTCACACCTACACATTCACACACTGATAGTAGAGGCTTGCCCAAGGACACATCAGACATGAGGCTGCAGGAGCTGGGGATCAAACCCCCGACCTTCCAGTTGAGAGACGACCGACTCTACCACTGAGCCACAGCCGGCCACAAATACACCGATGGTCATGCTATCCAAAGCTGGTTCAAACCCTCTCACAGATAAACGTATAATGGAGCCTGTGTCTCGTCTCAGACTGTTGACTAATATATTTTATCCTTTAAAAATGTGAAAACAACAATAAGAGGAAATGTGTCCCAACATTGTCTATAAAATGGCATTAATGAGATTTTAATAAAATAATACTGCGTATCAGAGAACAGACAAAGTAAACCATTTCAACAAAGGGGTTGTTTGTAAATGTCTGCAGTGCATCTTCACCTTCCTCTGATTCTCCTGCAGCTGTCTGACACGGATCCTGTTTCCAGGAAGGCCACTTTGAAGCCTCGTAACCCGACAGACAAAAGTAACCAGACGCAGCTTGTTAACGAGCTGCTGTTGTTTGAATCAGTGAGTAATCCCATTAAAAAACACACATTCTTCTCATCCTAGACCCAACATAGATCAATGACATCATTCACACTGTAGCGGTGGCAGCAGGCGGGCACGTGATCAAGACGGCGTGCATTTACTGTGAGGTCTTTATGTGTCTGTCACTCACTGAAGGCGTGGATCGAAGAAAGCCAAATAAAATGGATGCATTTTTATTAGTTGCTATGCAAACTGTCATCTGATTGGTCGATCAGCGTCCTCTTTGACTGGACACTGTTCTCTATTCGCTCCGGTAATTACACTCAGGAACATTCTCAGTTTTTGTTCTTTGCTTTACAAGACAGAAGTTAAAAAAATGAATATATAAAGAGCAGAAAAATCGAGCATGTCTTTGGACTGTGGGAGGAAGCTGGAGAGAACCCACACATGCATGAGGAGAACATGCAAACTCCACACAGAGAGACTCCTGTCAGACAGGGATTCAAACCAGGAACCTCCTCACTGTGAGGCTTCAGAGATAACCACTGTACAACCATGCAGCCCAGCAAAGTGACATGCATAAATTAAATAAATAAAGGAAATAACAGACTGAAAATATTTGTGTTTAATATATTTTTGTGGCCGTGGGTCAGTTTGTATGGACCTGGGTTTGGAACCAGTGGGTCGCCAGTTCAAGTCCTGGTATTGGACACTATCCAAGTATTGTCTGGTTCTGCTAGGTCACTTTCTGCACTGCTGAGGTGCCCTTGAGCAAGGCACCGGACCCCTTACAGCTCAGGATCAGTCCCTGTGAGCAGGACCCTCTCCCAGTTAATGCATGTCCACAGGTCCATTTTGTGCATGTGTGTATTTTGGGCCTGTGTGTTCGTGTGTGTGTGTGTGTGTGTGTGTGTGTGTGTAGCATGTCCCTCTGTAACAGAGCGTAAACTTGAATTTCCCCTCAGGGATTAATAAAGTATATCAAACTTTTTTTTTAAAAACTGTATTTTTTTTTTTTTTTGCTGTTGTGCCTTCTACAAATGTAAATTTACAGAAAATAATCCATCACTGTATTGTTGTTTTCTGCTCTTCACTTTCAGTAACATGAATATTATCACAACATGTTTGATTAGTTACATGAAAAGTTCAGATTCAGCGTCTCCTCCTCCTCTGTCAGCTCCCTGCCTGCACTGCAGAGCTGTGTGTGTGTGTGTGTGTGTGTGTGTGTGTGTGTGTGTGTGTGTGTGTGTGTGTGTGTGGTTCTAAGTGTTTAATTCCAGTCTCCAGCTCTCCACCTTGTGGTCCACACGCAGCATTGGCTCGTGCATGCGTCGCTCTCTTTATTGCTGGAAATTGGGCATGGAAAGCAAACACACACAACGCATACAGTTCACTGACACAGGTGGCTTGGTCTAAATATATGTGCTGCTATAAATAACCAAAAAGAAAGAGAGAGAGGGGAAAAAAAACTCAGAGGATGGGGGGAGAGCGGGGAGGGGGGGGGGACCGGCAGTTCAAAAGTCCGTTTTGGAAAACATGCAGCCCGCGTGCTCATGTTTAGGATGAATTAGTAAGCAGGAAGAATGATTTAGTCAACGGCTTAAAGACAACACGACTTCAGCCTGACCTAAAATTATAGGGCAACAGATGCATAGTCTAAACATCCAGAGCAACTTGATAGCCCAGTGGAGAAAGACAGTCATATCATAATACAGGCATGTAGGCCCTTTATTGAGTGAGTCATTCTTTCCGACAGAACACATTTTCCATACCCACAATAAAAAAAAAGTAAGATCTATAAAAACAGCAGATATCACTAAAAAAGAAAAAACTGGGCTGATCAGAAGTTTTGGTTTGCGTTCAGTAGACAGCAGGTGGCATCGAGCTCAGGAGGCAACTCTCAGAGACGTGATCATCATGAGATTCTTTATAAGATAAATAAATGTTTAACACTTCTCACCCCTCCCCTCTCTCTAAAAGTTGTAGCTGATGTTTATTTTGATTTTTTTTATGCAGAGATGTTCAGAGCAGAGCAGAGCTGGAACACCTTTAAGTCATGATTTAACCCCCGTGTTGTTATAAAACTATGAGAAGTATTTAAATGAACAACATTTGAAGTGAATTGATGCTGTCCTGATATTTATTTGTGTTTGTTTGAACTCTTTGACCTCCTCCCTCCTGTCGCTCTCTCCCCTCAGATTCAGATGAAACGCGTCGTCGCTCAATTAGCGTCAAACTGCCTCCTATAATCCGCATGTTGTGTTCTGCGCACATCAGCCGTATTGATCACAAACACGGCATAATTGCGCCTGTTGTCTCATCGCGCTCTCTCTCTCTCTCTCTCTCCCCCCCCTCCTCCCCCTCCTCCCCCTTCCCTCTCCGTTGGAGCCGGGGGGCGGGACGTTGCCGGTGTGTGCTGTTTAAAATGCTTTGGGGAAAGTCATCGCGAGGCACATTACAGAGACCGGTCCTCCAGAGATGTGAGGGGAGTTTCATACTTTAGGGGTTTTTTTCTTTTGCTTTTCGGTCCAAAACAAATAACACGAAGCGGAGATTCCTGTCTGGATTATATTTCATCACACTGCAACAGACCCGGTCCACAAATGAGCAACAGGTAGATTACACGACTCTGAGTAATTACTTTTGATTGTACATGAGATGAGTGCTTTGCGCATGTCTGAAATGTTTACTTTTGGCCAACATGTTGAGTTGGATTAAATTCTCCGTGACGCGCACATTTCCTTCTTTACGCACATCTGCTGCACCAACAAGTGAGCCGCCAGAGGTTTCACTGTGTCCGCTTCAAAATGTCCTAAATGTTAAGATCTGGGTGCGTGTTTGTGATGGCGTGAGTTTCGACTGTAACGTGTCTGTGTGTCTCAGTCTGAAGCCTCTGTGTGTGTGTGTGTGTGTGTGTGTGAGAGAGAGTGTGTGTGAGTGATTGCATCAGAAGTCTGCTCCCTTTTTCTCCTCGCACCTGTTAACATTTGTCGCTGGCATGTGGTGCATTCTGAGAGCAGCTCTGTCCGCCTGCTAACAGCCTCTTACTGCTAAAAAAAACCTCCAAGACAATCTAAGTATAATAACAAAGTCATAACTGGTCCATCCTTTGAGTTAAAGTCACAAACTCAAAGAGGAATCACAGTCTCTAAAGTTCAGATTTGACTTCCTCACCTCCTGTGAAAGAAAACATGCTGCGTCAGTTTTTTAAAATGTCAACAAATCAGTCATCATCTGAGTAAGTTTACACACCGCTGGGCAACAGGGCATCAGCAGGTAACAGGGTCAGCAGTGCATGAATTAGAAGCTGCTGGCTTGTAATGTTGTTGTGGAACCTGCAAATGTGCAACATCATGTGTAAAAAAAAAAAAAAGCCTTGAAGACAAGTTGCATCAGCCGGTTTTTGGATGAAATGAAACTTCATTCTGATTTGCGGTTGCAGCTGTGTCTTCTGATCTTAAACTTTCTGCCTTTTGAGAGCAAAGATGCATCAAAACACAGAGAACACAGCGAGGCTGCAGCAGATCAATTTAGTCTCTGTTGCTATGACAGCCCAAAACTAATGAGTGGTGTTTTAGTCTTAGTGCCGGGAGAATCCTCGCAGGACGGCTATTATTGCAGCATGAGAGGAGAAATCCCAGAGGAGCCTCCGAGAGTCAACAAGCTGCTGTGCCTCTCTTCTGCACAGAGACGGAGACGCAGCTCGCACTTTAGAAGCTTCTTCTCTGAAGTAACAGAGTAGTAACATGAAACACGTGAGGGAGCATGAGGTCAGGTTTCTAACACACCATGATAAATGTTTGCATCATATTCAGCATTAAAGCTTTGATTCACTTTATGTAACATGTTCTGCTTTTTTTAGAGTCTTGCAGCAAATTATTTAAAAGCTGACAAGATAGATAGATAGATAGATAGATGGATAGATAGATAGATGGATAGATAGATAAATAGATAGATAGATGGATAGATAGATCCCGAGGGAAATTCAAAGCATCCAGTAGCAGGTTACAAAGACGTACATGACATGAAACATTTGTTACAAATTAACCACAAAACCGACGCCCCCCCTCCCATAGATATATATTAACCTGAAAAAAAGATTTAAATAATACCCCTAGATGAATCAACATTTTTTAAGCAATGTTTAAAAAGAAGAAAATTATCAAAAAAACAGACATTTAATAACAGTCAGCAAATTACCGGCTTGCAAAGTTTAAAATAAAGTCAAACCGTGCGTCCATGGGATCCTGTAGAAACGCTGTAACCCACAATCCAGGAAATAATCAAGTCAGGGGCCGATCGAGCCAAGGAAAACAAGTCCACTTTGTAAAATGACCAATAAGGGGACCTAAAGGGCGATCACAGGGCGGACTCTCTCAGTGCAAGTTGAAAATGTCACATCAGGGTTAAATATCTCTGTTTTTCATTCGTCATCACTGGATGAAATATTGTTGGCACAGCCGAGCCCGAGCTCGTCTGACCCCGGGTAGAAAGAGAGTCGATGGGTTTTTCTCAGGCTGCATGCTCGCCTCGACTCCGTTCAGTTCTGACAACTCAAAGACGAGTTGTTGCTTTAATGCTGAAGAAAAACATGAAGAGTGTTTCCATGAAGAATTTAATCACAATCACAATCACAATCAGGTCTTTTATAGCCCTTATGTATAATGTGCTATAGTTACCTCAAATACAAACTGTGTTTATTTCTTTTTGTAACTCGTTGAACGGCCAAGCTTAGTTTGTGTTGTGTTGCAGTTGTCTCCTTTTCTTTGTTTTTTTTTTTTTTTTACTTAAAACTACTCTTAAGAACCCGTCGAACAAATATCTGTATGTCTCAAAACTCTATAAAAAAAGTTTTAAAAAAAGAAAAAAGAATCAGAATCAGAATCAGAGTCAGAGTCAGAATAAGAATCAGAATCAGAATCAGAATCAGAATCAGAATCAGAGTCAGAATCAGAATCAGAATCAGAGTCAGAGTCAGAGTCAGAATCAGAATCTGGGTTTATTGCCAAGTACATTTACACATACAAAGAATTTGACTTGGTGATTTGGTGCTGAACAAGCAGAACTAATTGACGTTATTTGACTAACCGATGTCTTCTGTTTGTTTTCAAAGCAGATGAACCCGATGAGGTCCAATCAGCTGATGAAGGAGGAGTGACCACCTCGCCCTCACCGCTCCACCGAGAGAGGGTCCAGCGAGGCTCCAGCCCCGCCCTCGCTTCGTCACCATTTCTCCTCCGAGCCGGTCCCCCCGCCGCGTTTCAAAACTGTTTCTCCAACGCGTCTTCCAGAAACTCGGACTGTTTTCCAGAGCAGACGCAGCACAGCCCTCCCCGACTGAGGTGATGGGAAGCGTGCGAGCCAGCCGCTACAGCATTGTGTCATCAGAGGAGGACGGCATGAAGCTCGCCACCATGGCGGTGCCCAACGGCTACGGGAACGGCAAGGCCAAGGTGCAGACGAGGCGCCAGCCGCAGAGTCGCTTCGTCAAGAAGGACGGCCACTGCAACGTGCAGTTCGTCAACGTGAGCGAGAAGGGCCAGCGCTACCTCGCCGACATCTTCACCACGTGCGTGGACGTCCGCTGGCGCTGGATGTTCATCATCTTCTGCCTCGCCTTCCTCCTCTCGTGGCTCTTCTTCGGCTGCGTCTTCTGGCTCGTGGCCATCTTCCACGGCGACCTGGAGAGCGACGGGCAGAAGTGCGTCTCCAACGTGGGCAGCTTCACCGCCGCCTTCCTCTTCTCCATCGAGACGCAGACCACCATCGGCTACGGCTACCGCTACGTGACGGACGAGTGCCCCGTCGCCGTCTTCATGGTGGTCTTCCAGAGCATCGTGGGCTGCATCATCGACGCCTTCATCATCGGCGCCGTCATGGCCAAGATGGCGAAGCCCAAGAAGCGGAACGAGACGCTGGTGTTCAGCCACAACGCCACGGTCGCCATGCGGGACAGCAAGCTGTGCCTGATGTGGCGCGTGGGCAACCTGAGGAAGAGCCACCTGGTGGAGGCGCACGTGCGGGCGCAGCTCCTGAAGTCGCGCACGACGGCGGAGGGCGAGTACATCCCCCTCGACCAGATGGACATAGACGTCGGCTTCGACAGCGGCGTCGACCGCATCTTCCTCGTCTCGCCGATCACCATCGTGCACGAGATCAACGAGGACAGCCCCTTCTACGACGTGAGCCGACAGGACCTGGAGAGCCTGGACTTCGAGATCGTGGTCATCCTGGAGGGCATGGTGGAGGCGACCGCCATGACCACGCAGTGCCGCAGCTCCTACGTGGCCGGCGAGATCCTCTGGGGCCACCGCTTCGAGCCCGTGCTCTTCGAGGAGAAGAGCTACTACAAGGTGGACTACTCGCGCTTCCACAAGACGTACGAGGTGCCGAGCACGCCGCTGTGCAGCGCCCGGGACCTCGCAGAGAAGAAGTACATCCTCTCCAACTCCAACTCCTTCTGCTACGAGAACGAGATGGCGCTGGAGAGCAAAGAGGACGCCGACGAGGGGAACGGCGGCAGCGTGGGGCCCGACGGCACGCAGACGGACAACATCTCGGAGAACGAGCACAGCCAGGCCACGGTGCCCCTCGAGCCGCGGCCCCTCAGGCGAGAATCAGAAATATGACTCATCAGGACCTCAGACCTCTTTGTGAGAGGGATCGTCTAGAACCCGCCTCTCTGCTCCTGAAGGCGCCGCGAGCCGAGCCGGGGGCCTCGGGGGTAGAGGACGAGCGGTAAACGGTACTGCTGCTGTGGGAAGCGGCAAAGGTTTTAGGACTTTGTATGTAAAGGTCAACTTGAACTTTGACCTCATACAGTATGACAAAACATAAGCACTACGATCATGGACCATGTGCAAACTGCAGGAAGGATTCTCCATGAAGTCCCCGAGAATGTGTGCTCTGGTGACTGCAACATGACAGAGAGGAGGAGGGGGAGGGGGGGGGAGGGGGAGACGACTTGAAAATTGCAGGCGTGTCTCAGTTTGTTTGTCCGGCATGAACAAGACGCTCCGAGACAGGAGGAGCGTTTGATACAAGATGTTCTGATGTGCTGCTAGAAAATAGTCGAATAAAAAAACTGTCTGTGCTTTTTTTATTTTTGTAGAACCAAAGAGACATTAAAGGTTGGGGGGGGGGGGGGGGAGAGGGAGACGGTACAAGTAGAGTATTTGTTCAGGAGCTGGTCTCACCGAAGACATGGCAGAATGTTTTTCTATTCTGTACGCATCATCTTCTCCCTTTACACTTTCCTCTCTGACTTGACAGCACTGATTTCTGATCTTTTTGCTTTTTTGTTTTGTTTTGCAATGCTAGGGTTTTCGGGGTTCATCGCTGGTTAGACCGATAGAAACATGCCTGCTCGTGGTCAAGAGAGCGGGGGTAGTATTAATGACATCACACTGACGGAGAATCTTTAATTTAAACAAAGAGCGGGGAGATATATGAGAATCTGAATGTTTCTTAAAAGTGCTGCTATGATGTTGCTTTTTTTTTTTTTTTGATAAAAAATGCCAAAGAGTATTGTTATCATAGTTATAGGTTGCTTTTTTTTTTTAAACACCACCTGGCTCGATTTGGTACAAAGAGGTAGAATGTTTTAGTCTTTTTTGATGAATGTGTGTACAGTTTATTGTTTTTTTTTTTTACTTCCTTATCTCGAGCCACGTCAACAAGCCTTAACGTTGGAAGTGAACTGGAGCAAAGTGGTGACGGCTTTACTGTAGAAGAGAGCTCGGACTTTTTTTTCTGCCGAGCTCGATCCAAAAAGTAGTCCGGGGTCTGGGTTCATACTTTGAGGAGTGTCACTCCTAAGAAACTCGATTCTTGAGGCCACACCAAAAGTCTGAAGTGCCAAAAAGATCAGATTTTAGAGAACTAACAAACATGTCTGATGTCTGAATCAGAAAACGGTGTTATGATTAGAGAGAAATCATCAAAAGTAAAACAATCCGACTGCCACGTTTGCCTCGTGCAGCTTTCTGTAGACTTCAGTTTCCTTCCCCGTCACCACTGCTCCTGTTTCACCTGAGAACCCAGATGTCGTCCAAACGTACTGTAACCCCGGCTGATGAAGGTGCACTCACTGCACGAGAGTTTGCATCAATACAAATAAACAGAGAAGTGAAAGCAGACCTGACGTGTGTAAATACCTCCCTGACCCCCTTTTGTTGCAGTTCTTTTGTGTCAGTCTTCCAAATGTTCTGCAAAACAACGGAATGTACAGTTTTTGTATTAATGTTATTATTATTATTATTATTATTATTATTATTATTATTAATATTGTATATGATATTATATTGCTCCTTTTTCAATAAAATGTCTGTGGACAGTCAGAAACCTGCTGTGTGGCTCCTCATGCATCATGTTCAAAGGTGTTTCTTGTGGGCCCGCCGATAAGACGCCGTAGTCGTTGTCGGTTGGAATCCGACCTCAGAAGGAAGGAAACTAAACTCCTTCTCTGTAGAACCAGATACCTGTCAGACGATGTGGAAACAACATAAAACACTACTTCATCAACCGTCGCTTTGTTTAAGCAACCAAGAAGTGAAGAAGCTTCACACCCTGAAGGAACACTCAGAGAAAACTTTAATAAACATGCAGACTCAGGCCCGTTGATTCTCTGTGGGCTGTGAAGGTCTCAGATAAAAACTGCTAAAAGGATGTAAAAGTCGTAAAATCCTGATAAATCGATTCAAAGGTGTCAAGATTCACATCGGTGGTCTGAAAAATGAATCTCATTATAATATGTAGAGCGTCAGCAGCTGCAGAGCAAAGATTTATAAATTGAGGACGCACCACTGTCCTTTCTTTTCTTTTTAAATACTTTTTATTTGATAGTTTTGAAGAAAAACAACATAAACTGTCAGAATGAGCATATTTACATTTGTGTATGGTTTGTGTAGAAGATCTACCTGTAAGTGCATCGTCTACAGGCATGGATATATATTTCTGTTAGCTCATTTTACGACAGAGAAGAAGAGTGAGCAAAAAGGAGGGGAAAAATAAAAAGAAAAGAATAAAATAAAAAGAGAGCAAAAGAACAACAGAGCATATTAACTTATCAAAAAAAGGACAAAGAAATGAAAAACAAAAAATAAAAAACAGTTTTTTAAATAGGAGGTGTGGAAGCATTTAGGCTTCAACAAGACAGAAGAGGAAAGAGGTGAGAAGATAACAGACGAGATTAAAAACTGTGTGCAAATATTACAAGACTACAGGAACTACACAAAGAGAACAACCAACATGATGCAGCATTTAATCCACACCACAATGAGAAGCTCCAATCACCTCCACTCCTTGAGAGATAGAAAACATGAAAAAGTCAAACCACACTGAGAGGTGGGTTAGCAGCCACTAAAGGAATCTGTTTCACTCATAATCTGTCTTCAGTCTTATTTAGTAAAATAATTCATGGGTGATTTATGTGATCATGGTGCATCCCTAATTATTGCAGAATAACACGAGGACACTGGCTGTTCTCTAATCTGGATTCTCTGGTTATTTTAGCCTGAACATTCATCCCTATAACAAACAAAAAATCACAACTATGCAGAGTCAAAGGAATGACAGTCTGTGTTGGTGTTTGCATCAGCTGACCAGGTGACATCACGCCATCATCTTTCACCCGTTAATCAACCTTTGATTAGCGTTTCCTTCTTCTAACTAAAGAATCAAGCGACATCTTTTTTTTTTTTTTTTTTGCAGGCGGCTTTCACCGATTCAATTTCAAGTCAAATGATACCAAAGATCAGTACGGAGCTACAATCCAGAGTGGACTAGTCCAGCTCTATAAAAGGGCACTGGATGGATGACCTAGTGGTTATGTTTCGCGCCCCATGTACAGAGGCTAAAGTCCTCCTGTGGGTTCAAATCCGGTCCCATCTCTCATCCCCCCTCCTCCCGACACTTCCTGTCTCTCTTCAGCTAAAAGGCCCAAGCATAGAACTTGTAAAAAAAAAAAGGGGAAAAATATTTTTTTAAAGGAAGAAGGAAACAAATGCAAAGAGACAAGATGCTGCTGCAGATAAGTGTGTGAGGGATTTCAGACGAGGAAATGTTTACGTCCTTTGTTTTGTTAACCTCCTTTACTTAAGTTACATCGACCTCGATATGAGAGGAGCCTGTGAAACAAAGTGCAAGAAAATCACCTGCTAGAACCAAGAAGCAACCTCCGAGGGGTCGACGTGTGAAGCTGATGCAGAAATGCAAAATCCTGCAGTTCATCGAGTGTCCACTAGTCATCACTTATTTAGGTGCTGAGTCGTGAAAAATCACTCGATATGAAGCACAAAGACAACACTGTGTTCCCTAAAGATATACTTATTTATTTGCGAAATGCATTAAAGAACAAAACGTTTCAAACCCGACCTGATGAAGAGCCCGGTCAGTCTTCAAACGTTTTCTTTAACACATTTAGCAAATAATAAAGTATTTCTTTGGGAGACAAAGTGTTACTTGTGACGTCAGACCCTCGAGGACCTGAAGGATCGGATTCATTTTCAACACCGGCAACGGTTGTTGCTTGGTTCCAAGGTCCAGAAAGGACAGGACTTTCTCCGTCGGAGCCTCCAGACTTTGGAACGGCCTATCAGAGGAGGTCAGACCTGCGGATTTTGATTTTATGAACGATACACGTTCTCCATAGTTAGGCGTGTAGCTGACCTGATTGACAGGTGGGCGCGGTGTAACGGTTTGTCAGGAGGTTTAAAACCCGCCTCAGCTCCAGCTCTCAGCCTGTCGTTAGGTTGACTGAAAGTTAGACTGAGACAGCATTTCCAGCATGGAGACCGCCATCGATGGGACTCCAGCGCCCCCTGTAGGAACAGACAGGTGACGTCTCTCAGACTTCAAACATTCATATTTACAGTTTCTGGTTTTGTAACTCAGATAGAATGGTGATAGAATCAAGCCGATTTTGTGGCACGCTGTCAGGACCGGCTGTAAGAATCAAGAAGTGGTGTCTGAACCTTTGAGTGACATCTGTAGATCTGAAGAGCGCACACATACTTCATGGCATGTTGAGCTGAATAAACCGGTTTAAGATGACAACAACAGACGTTTTGGATTTGATGAAACTCGTTCTGAAGCGTCTGCTGCTGAGAAAGAAGCAGAAGGAAAAAGGAAAAACACTAGTTTTGACTTCCACCGCTCCTCTCCTCTCCTGCTGCTCGCCGGCAGAGGAAGAAAAAAAAAGAAAAAAAGCTGGACATGAAACCGACTGAATGGAAAATTCCTCGGTTTACCATTAAGGAAGAGTGACACTAATGTCAACTTCTGATGTCAGAACTCCGTTTGAGCTTTGAACATGATGCTTCTGTGTGTGTGTGTGTGTGTGTGTGTGTGTGTGTGTGTGCCTGTGTGTGTGTGTGTGTGTGTGTCCATTCATCTCGCATAAAGCAGTTACGGTATCTGATGAATCTCGAATCATTTTGAAAGAGGAAGAGAGAGAAAATGAGTCAGACTCGTTTGCAGTCGCTCATTATAATCAGGATCTGTGTTTCATATTTCCTCCATGAGACATTATTTGAAATCACAACAGAGAAATAAAAGACAAACACACGAGTCGAGCGTCCAGAAGAAGAAAAAAAACACAAAAAAACCCACGCCGGAGCAGTCTGTGGGTGGCACGGCAGAAAAAAAAAAAATCCACCTCTTTGTATTTATTTAATTGGAAACAAAAGGCGTTTGTCCGAGCGTAGAAGGTGGCACCGCTTTGTCCACTGGAAAGGGTGGGAAAGTAAGGAGTAACCATCCGGTCACACCATTTAATATTTCATTTATTTATTGAATTATTAATGTAAAAAGTTTGCGACCAGGAAAGGCACATTGAGGTGACTTCCTGTCCGAGGGGAAGAATAGTGGCACATTGTGAAGCGGCTGTGAAGCAGTGTGGCAGCAGCTTCGTTTTCTTGCTGTAGGTGA